TTGAATCAATTTTAAGTAATTTCAGTGATGTGTTTTTTCTTGAGGGTGATAAACTGACCCACACGGATGCGGCAGTGCACGAAATAGAAACTTCAACGAACGTACCCATTAATAAACGGCAATACAGATTCCCAGAAGCAACAAAAAAGCAAATTAATGAAGAAATCGAAGAAATGTACAGGCAAGGTATTATCAGACCGAGTAAAAGCTCATGGAATGCACCAGTCTTGTGTATATCAAAAAGGGACTTGGATGCAGCTGGAAATAAGAAATATCGAATTGTAGTGGACTTTAGGGCTTTAAATTTGATAACTAAGCCTTTTGTATATCCAATTCCACTCATCAATGAAATCATGGATAATCTTGGAGATAGTGCATATTTTTCAACATTGGATTTAAAATCAGGATTTTATCAAATCCCAATCGATCCAAAAGATGCCGCTAAAACAGCCTTCTCAACCCCAAAAGGACACTTTGAATTTACAAGAATGCCTATGGGATTAAGGAATAGCCCATCAACTTTTCAAAAATTAATGAATACGGTACTATACGAAATCGGAGATGTTCGAGCCGTTGTTTATCTGGATGATGTCATCATTTCAGGAAGAACAATCGAAGAACATAATGAAAACTTATATAAAGTGTTGCAAGGACTACGCAGACATAATTTAAAATTGGAACCTGTAAAATGCAAAGTTTTGAAAACAGAAATCAAATATCTTGGTCATATAATAAATCAATATGGTATTAAACCAACCAAAGAAAATGTGGAAAGTATACAAAAGATGAAAAGTCCATCTACAGTGAAAGATGTTCGGTCATTTTTAGGTACAATTAATTTTTATGGAAAATTCATTCCAAACATTGCAAAGTACAGGAAACCTTTGAACGATTTATTGAAGAAGAATGTAAAATTTGTATGAACGCGTGAATGTGAGAAAGCTTTCGAAATGTTTAAAACATGCCTCATATCTGAACCTTTGTTAGTAAGGCCTAATTATGAGGATACTTTTGTCATCACCACAGATGCTAGCAATTGCGCGATAGGAGCGGTGTTATCTAATGAGAAAACTGTCGATAGACCGATCGCCTTTGCGAGCAGGGCATTAATAGGTGCAGAAAGTAGATACCACACAATCGAGAAAGAATTATTAGCGATCGTTTGGGCGGTTGACTATTTTAGACATTTTATATTTGATCAAAAATTCATTGTTTACACAGATCACAGGCCTCTAATTTCAATTTGGCGGTTAAAAGAAACGTCGCCCACATTAACAAGACTGCGACTTAAGCTGCAAGGTCTTAAATGTGATATATGCTACAAACAAGGGAAAGAGAACATTGTTGCAGACTTTTTGTCAAGGCTACCATGCACGAAGGAAAACAAAAATGTCAACCAGATTCAACCAACAAGTTATTGTCAGGGGCAATCAAGGTTACAACGTTGTAAGTTTAAAAAAGGTTTCGAAGAATAAAGAATCGGGGCAGTTGTTCTGATGAGTTGATTATCCGAGGTTTGCTAGGTGCGGACGAGCACAGTTCCAACCTCAGGATAATCAACTCATCAGAACAACCGCCCCGATTCTTTATTCTTCGAAACCTTTTATACATGAATTTGTTACTTAAACTCTACACAATAGTTTTTCTCCAGTATGTACATATAAAGCGAGACAGATAGTTTTTCTCTTGGAAAGTCGGTGTCTGTTTTTTTTAACAAGAATTAATGCTCCTCGCGGTAGGAACGGCTATGTATGATGCTTACTCACCAATGTTTACTTTGACCTTTCTCGAAGCACCTAGTTAAGCCAGCGCGCATCGCTGACGACGCGGTAGCAACTGTTTATAAACAACTGACCCTGGAAATGTGCAACATTGTCACTGCTGCTGTTAAGTTGTGTATTTTCTACTACCGTATGGGGGTCTATTACTGGTTAATTTCTTACTCAGATTGATATTGGATTTTGAGGCCTTTGCACTAAAATCCATTTTTCTGGGTACACATAAAACAATATTTGAATTTTTTTTAGTGTACACAATTGGAAGATTGCCGTAAAAGCTCAACGCAGATGTCGCCACTGCATGATGAAGATAATGTTGACAGACTGCATATAAAATTCGTGAAAATTAGCGTTAAATCATAATTTTCATCAATCCTGTGTAAAATCCTTCCAATATAACATTCGAATTGAAGAAGAAAACGTTTTTTACGATCAGACTGATGTGCATCTTTGACTTTTCCAGTTGATCTTTCATAAGATATATTCATTTCATTTCGCGGCTCCATCAATGCTGCATCGTAAATATGATGTAAATAGAAGTAAATTGCTCAATTACTCAAAATAAAGATGATTTGTCATCTTGTTATCACTTTGAAGACCATCTAGCACCATTTTATAGTATGGTGCGTGATGAGTAAAGCAAGTTCCGTTGCGTTTTCCGTCGAAAATTGTGAGTATCAATATGTTTGCTTAGAAAAGGCCAACATGAACATTTATTGAATATTGGCGTCCTATACAACCAATTCTCCATTACTACCAGCATGATACAACCTTTCCTAAGTAAATTAACTTAATTTCCACTTTCATCTTAGTGGAAATCGCACATATTCACCATTTTCCGAAAAATGCAGCTGCGCAGGAGGTAACCTCTCGCTGTGGGTGCAAACTTGTTATGCATTATTTTCCATGAAAACCTCTCCGATCCATACCGAAATAATAACAATTAGTTTTCAAACACGTTTTCTTACACGTTTGAAGCAAAAGTTTCCACAGGAAATTATTAGTTTTTCCCAAAAATCGTCTGTTTTACTTGGAAAATTTGGAAACTATCCTCCTTCTAGTAGTTCTCACTTCGAAATGTAGGAGGCGAAAGCTTGGAAATGTTTCACTGCAAGACGCCAATTCGAAGGTTGTATTGAAAGGGTGTTCTGCATGTTTGATGGAAATTGTGTTTTAATGAGCTTCCTACACACTTAGAAATTTTTACAGAAATCTGTAAAATTTTACAAAATCTCAACAGCTGAATGTTCGGTAAGGAGTTTAACAGATTTTCTGTAATTTTTCACAAATATCTGTGAATTTTTCACAGATATCTGTAAATAATTACAGGAAACCTGTAAAATTGTTTACCGAACGTTCAGCTGTTGAGATTTCGGTAAAATTTTACAGAAATCTGTGAAATAAACTAAGTGTGTATGTACACTGAAACAAGGACCATAGTTAGGAATACTATTTTGCAGAAAACACTTATTATCAATATAACCACGCTTATTGCTGTTGAATCTACTATGAATTCAGTATAGTTGACTATGAATGTTAACAAATTTACTATGATTCTGGCAATACTACTATGCTTGCTTAAAATGCATAGTAATTTTGATAGAAATAATAGTAAAATTAAATGAAATTGTTTTCTGCAAAAATCTATTGGTGAGGGTATCTAATCTAAACCATCAATATAGTATTTTGCCAATGGATTTTGTTTCAGTGTAGTCTGGCAGCATCAAGGTGACTACATATAGGTGTTCTAATGTGTCATGTCAGCCATGTTGGATTTTTGTATGGGACAGCGACCGAGTTTGTTTACAATTTGCTTTAAAACCGCACTCTTCCCCCCCGCGACCTCCTCGCCTACATAGTGACAAAGCTGTATCACCCATTTATATATACCCACCATGGTCAGCATTATCATCATCATGCAGTGGCGACATCTGCGTAGTGCTTTTTACGGTAATGTTCCAATAATTCATTGGATTCATGATAATTTTAGATAGAGCTGGTATTAGGGCATAACAGCTTTTGTAAACAATGACTTCTATCGATGATTTCTAGGAATTCAAGGCACGTCCACGCAGACCAACCTAACTATCGGATAGGGGAAGTCTTTCTCTACCCGATGAGGATGCTGATTGCGTGGGCGAGCCTTGAATTTCTAGAAATCATCAAGATAAGTCATTGCCGATGGGGGCGACTATATCTACGATGGAGAAAAGATTGTGTTTTGCTGTGGCTAGCTGCACGCACGCTGAGTAGATAGAAGGAAGATTTATGTCGATTTTGAAGATTTCCTGCAAAAAGATGAAGCACGATGCAAGTAGATGCAATAAATTAAAGATGATTTTTCGAAAATTGATTCGCTAGAGTGAGATTTTTTGAGCATCTAGAATTGGGTTTTTTAATTTGGAAAAATATATTGGTTTTTATATATCTGAATATATCTGAAAGAGCTTCGTTTTCTGAGCACAGCGATATTTTTTTTCGAACCCACACACTTTCATCTCGATTTTTAAACCAAGATTTAAAGCAAAATAAAAACTTCACTGTTTGACACTAAACTGACCAAATGACAGCTCACTCCCATACAAAGTGACACCGAGGGGCGCTAATAAGGTGATTTTTGCAGATGTAATCGTTCTTATTTAAAATAGTTCCAGTGTACCAAAATTGATGAAATTTTGGGTTTGGGTTCCATTTTTAATGCAGATTACGAATATGCATTTACCTCAATACCCTTATACCCCGGACAGACTATGGCTTATATCATGTAATATAGGCTGGCTTGCAATGAGCACTCATACATCTAGTTTTCACTGGAAATCCTATATATGAGTGCTCATTGCAAGCCAGCCTATATTACATGATATAAGCCATAGTCTGTCCGGGGTATTAGGGTACGGCCAGAGTAGACGCGATTCGCAACGCGACGCGACCAATTCAAAAGAATCTTATTATTTATTATTATTCCTTGCTTGAGTCTCATCGCGTCGCGTCGCGTGTCACGTCTACCCTGGCCGCGGCCTTAATTTCAGCGCTATCTAGAGTTCATCTTTGAAATATTCTCTCCGTGCACACCGTGAGCAACGAATTGAAGAGAGATGTGAGGCAGTAATATTACGCAATAACGATAGTAACGCATCATGGATCCATCCAATTTACTGACCCCTCGTTACGACTCCACGTCAAACATTGTGCTGTCATTCAAGTCCATTCGAAGTTTTCGCGAAATTGGAATTTTATCCCGAAAAATTTCCAGTATTTTCCTAATATTTTTGTCACTAATCGATTTTGTTTTCTAAGAGCGTGTGTAAAATGGTGTCCGTATTAAACACAATCGATACGGGACATGAAGACATGATTCATGGAGCTGAGGTTGATTACTATGGACTTCGCCTAGCGACGTGTTCGTCAGACAACTCAGTGAAGATTTTTGACATCAAAGGCGGAGCGCAAACGTTGGCCGCAGATCTGAAGGGACACGGTGGTCCGGTTTGGCAAGTCGCTTGGGCACATCCTCGTTACGGCAATATTCTTGCGTCATGCTCTTATGATCGCAAGGTAATCATTTGGAAAGAAGCTGGCCCAGGCGACTGGAGCAAATGGTTTGAATATAGCAATCACGATTCTTCGGTAAATTCCGTTGCATGGGCCCCTGCCGAATATGGTTTGATATTGGCCTGTGGTAGCTCGGACGGGTCAGTATCTATTTTGACAGCTAGTATCGAAGCTGGTACGTGGGATTCGAAGAAAATTCCCAATGCACACAGCATTGGATGCAACACGGTTAGCTGGTGTCCTGCAACGGCTCCGGAGCCGGCGTTTGACCAGAGGCCATCAAAGGTCAATCTTGCTGTTAAACGACTTGCTACCGGAGGTTGTGATAATTCCGTAAAAATTTGGAAGGAAGAAGGTGATCGCTGGGAAGAGGAGAAACGGTTGGAACTGCATTCGGATTGGGTTCGAGATGTTGCTTGGGCACCGAATGTTGGACTTCCTCGTCACCAGATTGCTAGCTGTTCGCAGGATCGACGTGTTATAATATGGAGCAGCGATGATTTGCAGAATTGGCAGTCAACGATTTTGAACAACTTTGATGATGTCGTTTGGAACGTGAGCTGGTCCTTGACTGGAAACATACTTGCCGTTTCCGGTGGGGACAACAAAATCAGTCTGTGGCGCGAGAATAATGAAGGACAATGGATTTGCATAAGCGAGGATACCAATACGGCCAGCCAGGTACATCCATTGAACCAAACTCAGAACAGCTTTGTTTCGGAGCAGAGAACGTTGTAATTGATTTCGGGCGGTAGCGATATATGTGTAACGATTATTATGTCTTATTATTATTTCCTTGCATTTTATGTAAACTATAGTTGCAAATAAACGTATGCAGAACAATAAATGATGTCGCTTTACTAGTCAAAAAAGAAATAACATGCGTGATTGTACTCTCAAAATCCATCATACTCAGCAAATGCTAGGGGCTGTTCATTAACTACGTAGACGGTTTTTTTATGATTCCCCCCATGCGTAGACAATTGTCCATACAAAATTTTTGCATGGGCCGTGGATAATTCTCACTCCCCTATACCGTCTACGTAGTTTATGAACAGTCCCTTAAGTAGAATAGCTTAATTTAAGAATTTGAAAAATGACCTATTTTTATTTGATGTGTGAGGTTTGGTATAAAATAACTTGACATAATGGTTGTTTCACATAATAGTCATTTGGCATAATGCACGTTTGGCATAACTTCAGGCATAACATTTGATAACGGCACAAAAGCATTTGTAAACAAACTCTCTAAGGCTCTTTACACGCGAACCAAAGTACACCCACGCAAACCAATACCACTTTCGGAACGATGATAGTTTCCCCTTATCCGATGATGTCGTTGGTTTGCGTGGGCGTACTCTGGTTCGCGTGTAAAGGGCCTTAGAAAGTTTGTTTACAAATGCTTTTGTGCCGTTATCAAATGTTATGCCTGACTTTATCAAAATCGCTTCTAGATGCAAAAGTAACACGAATAATACTACACATTTTGATAAATAGCAAAATAGCAACACTGGCACTCCGGCCCAACTGGCGTACTTCCAATAGAGATTTGCACTTCTTTCAAACATGAGCTGTTCTTTCGAATTTAATTGTTGCAGTAATTTTTGGATCTTTCTCACTGCTCCTCATGGGCCGCGTAATCAATGAAACGAAAATTCATTATTTTTAATTAAATTGCATTACAATTTTAACGTTTCCCGTGTTTTAGTTTGCTAAATTACTATTATGTCAAATGACCTTTGTGCCAAGCGTGGCTGCCCGCTTTCGATTTGTTAGATTTATTGAGAAAAATCCTGTGCTTAGATAGGGTTTCGGGGGGCTTCAGCCGTTTGTACCTCCTAACATGATTGATTATTCACTACCCCATCGACTGATCGTAATTGAAAACAGACTATCGTATTCAATCTAAGAATTTTGGAGGATTTTAGTGGACAGTCTGTCAAAACAATTACTATCGCCTGCTTAAGCGAATCCTACCAAACTATCCAACGCCGTAGCATCTATGGGGGCGTTGGTGAGTCGCTGGCCTCCCTTTAAGTAGATGTTACTTCAACAATAACCTTTCTTACCCTGTAACGGAGATGATATGATATGGGCGTGGCCAGCAGTAATTGGGTTCTTTAATTTTGAAAAATATATCGGTTTTTTTATATCATCTGAAAGAGCTTCGTTTTCTGAGCACAACGATATTTTTTTTTCGAACCCACAAACTTTCATCTCGATTATTAAATCAAGATTTAAAGCAAACTAACAACTTCACTGTTTGACACTAAACCGACAAACTGACAGCTCGCTCCCATGCAAAGTGACACCGAGGGGCGCTAATTAGGTGATTTTTGCAAATGTAATCGTTCTTATTTAAAATAGTTCCTGTGTACCAAAATTGGTGAAATTTTGGGTTTGGGTTCCATTTTTAATGCAGATTACGAATATGCATTTACCTCAATACCCTTCACGGATACGAATTTTGTTCATTTAAAACAAAAATATAAATGTTTGTACTTTAAACATATGAATTATTCGGGTCCGCTTTGAGAAGCGTCCGAGAACGGTTGTGTGTTTTTGCTCCGCTGCGTGCTTTTTTTTTAGAGCTCGGGCTATCTTTGTGCTGCCGTGTAGTTTTTCGGTGCTCGCATTTGAATAGTTTTATGTCCCGGACGCGATAATTCTATTTAGAATGATTTGTGCTGATGTTTTTCCCCTGTTGCTTTGGTGCCTGGTGTGCTCTCGCTCCCTTTGTTGACAGTGTGACTCGACCGCGCTGATCTATTAATAGGTTTTTGCGGTGTGCATTGCTTTTGTGCACAGAGTGACATGAAGAAGAAAAGTGATATTTAGTTATTGTGTGTTTGGATTCGCTGGAGGAGGAATTGTTTAAAAATGACTAGAGAAAATTAAGCATCGAGAATGCGCTCCCGGATGTATTGATTTGGTGAGTACGTTCCAGTTGAAGATTGTTCTCTCTAAATATCCCTTTTTTGAATACGTTTCATCAATCAAATATTATTATATGTTGGGTTTGGGGGGGGGGGGGCAGCCTAAGGGTTTCAATGGATTTGTAGACTGGACAAGTGTTCGTGGATTTGCCAGTCCCTTGTCACGTGTTGATAGACGTACATCTTGTCGTTTGTCTTCCAAAGGTCTTCAATGAAGTTGATTCACCCAGCTGCAACAAACCATCAGGCAGAACATTACAACCAGTGAAGTATCTGCAGTCATATGTAATCCTTGCACTGATGGTGGGTTCTATTCACATCACATGTTCCCCTATAAAAAAGTGAATTTGTGTCGCATATATTATAATCTCATCTGATTCTGGATTTTACAGTCAGCTTCACGGGTGTCAGCCTCCTGCCCAGGAATAGGGAAAACTTCGTTAAGGTCTCTTATTGTGTTTCCCTTCCGACTGGGGGACTTGTGGACTTCGGGGCGGGCTTTCTTTGACGGTGGTGGATTGTTCCCTTCGTTCGCCTCCGTATCCGAAACTGGCTGCATCTGTTCCAGTTCTGCTTCAGCCTCCAAGGGAGTCTTGAACTCTCTTTTTTTCACTCAATTGATACGTTCCCACATTGGGTTTGGCGTGGAGAACTCGTCTTGAGAGAGTTTCGCTACCGCGTTTTTTTTCCGGCCAGTGTAGGATTCCAGCTTCTTTCCAACCAGAAGGAGTTACGGTTAGGCGTGTTTCGCATCTTTCAATTGTTTGTACCACTTTAAATGGCATTTTTTCCGCACTTGAACTTGGACGACACTAGCTGACTCCCTTCCGAAACATTTTGAACTGTCACTTTTCTCCAGGCAACTTTGTCATCATAAAACTGAACGGTGCCAAGTCAAGTCAGGGTGGATAGTAAATAGACAGTGGGGTATTCAAATTTACTTTATAAATGCTATAATAAACCATTGTGCAGCGATGATCGAGACGTTTCCGTCGGATAAGATTATTTTGCGGCCGAGTGTCTAGGAAGCTATGGAAACCGAAATGGCTCTTGATTTTGTTTTATGCCCTTATAGTATAAACCACCATCGCACTTTGTGAGTTGCCCCAATAGAACCCTTGCTTTGGGTTTGAATCAGTACAAATTCGTTCTATTATATATAAAAAAAAAAGAAGTATACATATTCATTTTCTTCCGAACTAAATAAACCACCATCACACTTTGTGAGTGGCCCCAACAGTATCCTTGCCGTTGGTCTAAATCGGGTCAAATCGGTTCTAATAATTATTTTATATTCAATCAAGTAAACCACCATCACACTTTGTGAGTGGCCCCAACAGCATCCTTGCTGTTGGTTTAAATCGGTTCAAACCGCTTATAATTAATTATTTTGGTCATTGATAAAATAAAATAAACCATCATCACACTTTGTGAGGGGCCCCAACAGTATCCTTATTGTTGGTTTAAATCGGTATACACACATCTAATAATGATCTACATCTCTAGACAGCCGGCTGTTTAGAGCATAAATCGAAAACACTTATAAATAACTACACAAAACAAAAGATCGCATCACTTATCAAGGTGAATCCTGATCCAACGAACCTAACCCACTAACAAAACCTCCTCCCTGTGACTTTTGTGGGATGCAGAGGTAAACACGGTCCCAAAACAACAAAAGTCACACACTAACATTCCTTCCCTCTCCCACCTGATTGCAAGGACGTGGCCGGTGACGTTATTGATCTTTAAAGGTAGGAGTCACTGGAACATGTACACTGAGAATGGCAGGTTACTACCAAGCCCCATTCAGTTGATTCTTTGTACAATTTCACTGGTTCAGATCAATCACGGAGTGCAACTATCGATACGTGCAGTCAGACTAAGCTAAGCTAAGCTAAGCTAAGCTAAGTACTTTAAACATATGAATTATTCAAAGTAAATTGAAAGCATGTTTAAAACTAAAATATTTATGTTTGAATAAAATTCAAAAGCATGTTTATTTCAACAATATAAGATTTGGGTAAACGGTTTTTAGCGTGTCATGCCTTTTTATTTCCTTCTTGTTACATTCGTAAAAAGATGCCCCAGCTTTGCTCAACCTCAACGGAAAACGGCCATTCATTCCGAATCCATTCCGGATTCTCCTCCGACACCGAACATAGAAAGAAACCGGTATGAGGACCAGTGGCAGAAACCGAGGCAGAAACGGCAAAACGACGTTATTAACACACATTTGTGCCGGTTCCACTGATCTTGAACCCACGAACACGCACCCTGACGGGTCATCGCATCCCGGACCAGGACCCCAATACCCACAGCTCACCCTTAATCGCACCCGAAAAAGAGCAGGATTTAAGATATCTTTTTTTTTCATTTCTTTGCAAACCGTTTTATTTTGCTTTACCCTGCACTCAACTACTAAAATAATTTCAAAATATGCATGTTTATTTTAAACATGAGAAGCATGTTTAAAATAAACATATTTATTATTGCTCGCATAGCTGTCAAACCAACCAAAAATAAATACGTTTATTTTCAACACGAATATTTTTGAAATAAATGTAACATTATTTTTGTTTTAAACATTGATTTCACATGACTTCAAACATGGAATACGTTTGAAATCAACCTAATTTATGTTTGTGGCCAGAACAAACTGAGTTTACGTTTAAATTTACCTCAAATATTTTTGTTTCGACCATAGTTTTTTTCTGCGTGTTAAAGAACCCAATTGTCATGCTTTTCCTTTTCTGAACTTTGATTGGAGCAATGGATCAGAATTATCATCATAACTTATGGTTTGAGAACTTTAATGGTAATGGTTATGGTAGTCAGTAAGGTCCACGAATGGTTTTGTAACATCGATCAACTTTATGTGGAATATATCGCGAATTGGTTGCCTGTAATTTACTGATTACCAATTCACGATATATTCCACGTAACGTTGAGCGATAATACAAAACCATTAATGGACCTTACTGACTACCATAACCATTACCATTAATGTTCTCAAATCATAAGTAAAAACGTTCTTATATAGTTCTCTTTCTGAAAATGTATGGAGAAAACAAGAATTTGGAATGGTAATGATTCTTAACAACCCATTATTTGTAAGGTCTAGTTCCAAAAAACCATAATACATAAGGTTGAAACTTTATCATTAAACGTTCATGTAAAGTTCCATAACCATTTCAGTTAAAGTTTAGCAGGGATTATAAACAATTTTTAACCATTTTAGGTAAGGTCAATTTATGGTTCGCGTTTATGCGGGATTGGTCAGACCATTATTCCGCAAGGAAAATGAAATTGCATTCAGAATGCGCCACCTTCATATCGATCACGATACTAATGTAATCGATCTTTCCTTTACCGATTTCTTTTGAACTGCGTACTGGGTCAAGCCTGGTACGCAACTGAAAAGAAAACGGAAAAGTAATTTTTGAGGAATATTCCCAAAAGTAAATTTGACAGCTATAGGGAGGTGTCTTTTGCTAAATTTTGAGTTCATAGGTAGGTGTCGTCTAATTTTAAAATCAACAATTATCAGTTTTTATGTTGTTAAAATGCATCCAAAACATCATTTTTACAACAAACGTTAAAATTACCTAACGGAATAATTGGTCAGACCATTATTCCGCAAGGAAAATGAAATTGCATTCAGAATGCGCCACCTTCATATCGATCACGATACTAATGTAATCGATCTTTCCTTTACCGATTTCTTTTGAACTGCGTACTGGGTCAAGAAATGCTAAGGAAAAGAAATTTCTTTAGCATTCCGTGTCCTATCCCGTATAGCACGTAAAAACGTCATTACTTTTCAGCTGCGTACCAGGCTTAAAGTGATGAAATTTTAAGCAAAATGAGAAAGTTTAATTTATCAGTGTATTGCATATTTTTTTAAATTTATTTTTGTGTGTAAGACTAGTAGTGGTTGTCATTTTTGGCCGGCAATAAATAAATTATTTATTTTGAAAGATTTTTAGTGAGTTTTTGGTGAGCAGATAAAAAAAATAACATGTCCATAGACGTGAGTATTCGACACAAATTTCTGTAAGCTATACGCAAAGTTTTAATGTATCAACATCATCAGTTTTCTTGGTGGAAAAAAGCTCCTCCGATAGTGGAGGATACGGAAGATGTTCTCCGACAGTATATTCTCGAACCGGCGATTCCAGTAAACGAGCCGAAGCCTCACTTTCAACCCCGTTTGCCAACGGTGGAATCATTGTACGACATTCCCCCGGCTCCGCATAGCACACGGATCGTTCCGGAACGATGTCAAGAAACCGGAAAGATATTTGATTTCATGGAAGTTCATATCGAAAATGCTGGCAGCAATGCAAAGAATTCCATGTCACTGCAACGGGAACCTGGGCCAGGTGACGATTCAACCAGGGGATCGGCCTCGTATTTTCCCTTTTGGCCGGGTGGTTTTGACGAACCGGAGAAGGCTATTCAAATGCTGGATATTGATAATGCGGTATTTGAGGAGAATTTGAAGACATGTCCGCCCGGGTTCACAAACGGCATGGATTTTAGCGATATAAAAAGTTCGAATGGCGGTATAGTGGATCTTCTGTCCATAATAGAGCAGGATACTGCAGGGCTAACGGTTTGGGGTCCAGATGATAGTGAAAGCGACGATGAGCCTCGGTTCGATGCTAGTACTTTGCAGAAAGTGTCTTTGGTTGAGAATTTAGACGAATCACTTCTAAATGTGGAGCAACATCAGTCAAATGTGCTAAAAATAGGTGACACCGGAACGAATACGGTGACTTCTGCGGAATGGGCCGAAATTCTGGATGTATCTAAACCGGTGACAGATTTTCATACCAAAATTCCAGACATGGCGCATAAATATCCATTTGAGTTGGACATATTCCAGAAGCAAGCAATAATTAAGCTGGAAGAGCATAATCATGTTTTCGTAGCAGCACACACCTCGGCTGGTAAAACCGTGGTTGCAGAATATGCTATAGCCTTGTCAAAGAAACACATGACTAAAACCGTCTACACTTCTCCGATCAAAGCGCTGTCCAACCAAAAGTATCGCGATTTCAAGACGACTTTCGAAGATGTTGGATTGATCACCGGAGATATCCAAATCGATCCTACGGCTTCGTGTTTGATCATGACAACGGAGATTCTTCGATCGATGCTATACTGTGGAAGTGATATAACACGTGACTTGGAATATGTTATATTTGATGAAGTCCACTACCTGACGGATGCCGAGCGTGGGCACGTTTGGGAAGAAGTGCTTATTCTCCTACCTGATCACGTGTGTATTGTCATGTTGAGCGCAACGGTGCCAAATACTTTGGAGTTTGCCAATTGGGTTGGCAAAACTAAAAAGAAACGTGTTTACGTCGTGAGCACTCCGAAGAGACCCGTGCCACTTGAACATTATCTTTACACAGGTAAGTTTGTCATTATGGTGACAGTTCAAATAATTTACGGCTATATAAACTTCTTAAACATTCCGTTAACTTCTAACTTTGTCCATAGGATGTGGTGGTAAAACAAAGAACGACCTATTCCTGGTCGTAAACGAACAAAGTAATTTCCGGATGGATGGATATCGTAAGGCAAAAGAAGCTATTACGACAAAGATGGATAAAAATGTCAACAAAAATGCCGGGCGTCAAGGTCAATTCAATCAGAAGCAAGAACAAACACTGTGGGTTGGTTTGATTGACCACCTGCAGAAGAACGACAAACTGCCAGTAGTAGCATTTACCCTTTCCCGTAATCGATGCGACAACAATGCTACTGCGCTAATGTCCTGTGATCTAACGACGGCTCGTGAAAAATATTTTATTACCTCGTTCTTCCAGTTGTGTCTGCAGAAACTGAAGCCACCGGATCGCATCCTTCCGCAAGTGATCCAGGTTCAAAATTGCCTACAACGTGGAATAGGCATCCATCACAGCGGAATTTTACCAATTTTGAAGGAAATTGTTGAGATGCTTTTTGCCCGAGGGCTGGTGAAAATTTTATTCGCTACGGAAACATTTGCGATGGGAGTTAACATGCCCGCCAAAACGGTTGTTTTCGACTCGACAAAAAAGTTCGATGGGCAAACTTCACGCCTGCTGCAACCTGCGGAGTACACCCAGATGGCTGGTCGTGCCGGTCGCCGTGGATTGGATAAGATTGGGACCGTTATCATTATTTGCAAAATGGGTGTGCCCAGCGAAAGCGACTTGAGGAACATGATCCTTGGAAAACCGATGCGCCTAGAATCGCAGTTTAGGTTGACATATGCGATGATTCTGTATCTTCTTAGGGTGGAGCTCGTTACAGTGGAGAACATGATGCTGCACAGTTTTAGAGAGTTTGAAAAACGACAGAAGCTCCCAGAAAGTAAATTCGAATTAAGTAAAATGGAGGAGAAGATTTCAAAGTTAAATGATTTGAGTGAACACTTGGAACCGCTGTGTCAGTTTTACGATGCAGCCGTGGAGTATTTGAGCATATGGGATGAATTTATGGTAAGTAATGGTCCATTCGAGATATTCTGGTGTACCGAGCTTGAGATTCAAAGCTGAAACATTGACTGGCACTTGGGAAATTGTGCATACCTCAAGCTAAGTTCATTCTTCTGTTCCCGTAACGTGGGTAGATCAGCTTTTCATGGTGCGTTACTGGGTGTAAGATCTACCACATCGAACTCTGGCTCTAAGCTCTTCTTGATTGTCGGTTATGAGCCACGTTTTTGAGAGTATCCTAGGAACTGAGATTAGAAACAAGGAAAGGTTCGATGCATGGTCAAGTATCAGTATCTTCGATTGTTTTTGCCACTAAGGATACCTATTATGATTGATGAGAAGGCGCGTCAATAATTTTGAAATCACACATTTTCACAAACCCGTGAAACCTTTTTTTTTATTAGAGACACTTTACATCGAATGGTGCAGTCATGTCTTAAAATAAATAATTACAATGTATTGTACAAATTGGTATCTTCAACGAAGGCTACTAGTTTATTCTCTTCTTCATGCTCGTTACGAAGTGATGTTTGCAGACGAGAAGGGTCCATGTTGTATTTTGTACGAGCATCATGATGTTTCCTGCTAACGCAGTAAAATATGTTGAACGTTGATGACGGTGCCGCAGCATTCACACACGGGTAGGTCTGTTCTTTTGATCAGGCCTGGTTTGTCCGTTCCTTAACCAGGTTTGGATCCGTTGGTCTACTGGATTTTTGCAGTCATTCCATGGATTATTGTTAAATTTTATCTTATAGAGCTTAGCGTCCCATTATGTATGCCAAAAATGGTCCCACTATTGTCGTATAGCACGTTTGACTTCCCTTATCGCGTCAATGGCTGGTATTTGGATATCATGTGGAACGTTATTTCTAGTTTCAGCATTTACTTGGATTCCTGCATGGCCGGGAGCCAGCAGAATTGTTTTTATAAATGGATTTCCGCCTCGATACTTTGGATCCATCGATGTCTACCCATCGTCAGCGCAGATAATCCACCGACAGAATCGTTAGAATTGTTATTTGCGTCTTGCGTGAAATGTTGAGAGCGTACGTTTCTGATGAGTCGGCGTGAGTGACTGAATGTTTTTGCTGGCTCTTTCAATGCCTCGTCATTTACCGTTTGGTACAAATGGTCTGCACAGGGACATAATGCTATAATGCTGCATAGGAACACCATTCATAGTTTCATGGGTGAGTTAGCATTGAAAATATGTTTATTTTTAAAATTATTGAAAAAAATACTCTTGCCCCACCTGACCCTATCACTTTCTCAAAAAGCGAACGTTGAGTGTAATTCAATAAAATTTAAAATTAACTGTTAGCATTGCTATTGATACTGCGAAAACAAAAACATTATCATGCTGTGTAAAGCAAAAACGTCCTGCAAAGGCATTTTCACTGGATGTCAGATTTTTATTGCAAAATCCTAAGTTGCCAGTTTTCAGCGTTTCCAAAACTTGAGAAAATGTCTGGGAATTAGGAAGTTTCTAGAACTGATTTCTAGCATAAAGAATATTTTCACCAGTTAAAAATTCACTTCTCTCGTGTATCCTGGGTACCTTCAGTGGTGCTTGTTCATTTTTATTCATTTTTACTATTCAAATTGACCTTAACGACTAACAGGAATTACTTTCTTCCCGGATAGCCCTTCATATACCTGTCGCAAAAAATTTCCAATGAAATGAAACCTGGTCGAGTGTTGGTGATAACGCATAAGCATCATCATAATAAGCTAGCAATTTTGCTCTCGGTCGTACAACAGGATCAAAAATCCGCTCGCTATAAGGTGCTTGTGCTGGATCACCAAAATCCCAGTGCAGAAATGGAAAATCTAGAGCGTGGTGAACTATGGCACCGTATTTTGGCACTGTCAGCTCAGTATCGTCAATTCATGCCCGAGGGAATTGGTGGCCACTGCGTGTTACAGATCACTCAAACGGATGTGGTGGATGTTACGAAACAAACTATCAAATGCGATCCTGTTAAGATCATCCAAAATTGGGACAACCGGCAAATTCCAAGGTTCAAGGATCAACCACCGTCGCAGTCCGTACTAGATGCGATGGCTGCTTTAAACGAACTGAACACTGCAGTAGTGAACGATGCAATTAGATTGGAGAGTTTGAAATATCAACTAACTCTGAACCAATTGAAGCAAAACAAAGAATTGCAGAAGGCCAAATATAATGTGGACAGATATCTTCCATACACGGATATTGCCGACTTTGTCCATGAATTTTCCATTGTGTTCGATCGTAAGCAGTTGGAAAATAAATTAGACGATCTTAAATACCAGGTTTCATACAAAAGTATGTCACTGTATCCGGATTACTGCAATAAGCTGAGAGTTCTTCAAGATCTTAAGTATATCGACGACATGCAGCAAGGTAAATATTATTTACAACAGTGGTCTTTATCTTGTAACAACCGTCTAAATTCCTATTCTATTCACAGTGGCTATGAAAGGACGTGTGGCATGTGAAATGGGTCAAAATGAACTGATGATAACCGAGCTGGTGCTCAGGAACATTCTTACCGATTTGCAGCCAGCGGAAATTGCCGCATTGCTTTCTAGCTTAGTATTCCAGGCAAAAACAGAGGTTGATCCGAAAATGACAGAAACATTGAAAAAGGTAGTAATTATAAAGTTATTACGCTATCACTTTTACAGTGACCGATCCGATTTTCGTTGCAGGCTAAGATACTGTTTGAAGAGGTTGAAAACGATATTCGATGCGTTGAAAAAATGTACAACGTTACGGATATTTTAGAGAAAGACGAGCTCAACTTTGGCCTCATTGAAGTAGTCTACGAATGGGCACGGAATAAGCCTTTTGCAGAAATAATGGAACTAACCGACATCAAGGAAGGTATCATAGTGCGGTGTATTCAGCAGCTGAATGAAACTTTGTGCAACGTTAAGGATGCTGCGCGTATCATTGGGGATCCGGTGTTGCACAGCAAAATGGAGGAAGCCTCAAATGCTATCAAAAGAGATATTGTTTTTGCTGCGAGCTTATATACATCTAGTACGCCGATTGAGATTGCAGATGCAGATGCAGAATAGTTATAAATACGGTTTTTATTATTGGAATTATTTCGGAAATATATATATTTTTTGCTATTGTTTTTCAATGCATACCGTATTGATTTTTTTTACTTCTTCTTTGTCATGACCAAGCATTCCGCCTGTTCTCTGGTTTGTATATTACATTTGAGTACTTCCACAGTGTACTTACTTGATGGGTCAATGACCCGAATGGCCAAAGTTTAATGCTTAGCTTTTGATGACTGTTACACTACAGTACACTTGCGTAGATCAGAACTAGTAAAATGGAGTTTGGAGTCAGCTGGCTGTCTTCAATGTACTAATTATTGATACAAACTATAGCATGCTGGGTCATTAGGCCGAATGGTAATTAGACCGAACGATCATTAGGCAGAATTGTCATAAGGCCGAATGATCACTAGGCCGATCCTCGGAAAATTATTTCTTATCACTTAGCGAAGAAAATGAAAAAGACACGATCAGCAGCAAATGAAAGGATAAATAAGGTTGGTTCACATTAAAATCAATGTTTCAATAATTGTTCCGTCTTATGTCAAAGGAAAAAGTAAAAACTGCTATAGAAAGTCTTAGCAAATATCAAATAAATGATCAGCTTTTAAAAGAAGGAAAAATAATTTGATTGCACGAAAAATCACGAAAACAGTAAAACTTAAAAGAATACTTTAACTATTTTGTTTGTATTACTTCTGCGTGAAGTTAACAGTTTTACATAGTTGAAGATGCTAAGTTTCAATTAACAGACTTAAAGTGGCCATTAAATTAAATTTTTATACAATAGATGAGGAGATGAAAGTATAGAGTTGATAGTTCCGTTAGAATACGGCAGTGTGAAATATAGAGAGTAGAAAGCGAGCAAGGACAACTTTAAGAAAGGTACGGATCGGATTGATCATCTCACTTTACCAAACTCCCCAGAGATAATCACCGATTTGCTCATGTACCTACGATGTGTTGCAACAGTTCTATCGATTGTACCGCTTTCTAGTCGTTATCTGAAGGGACGACTAGATATTCCCTCCCCTGTCAATCGACTTAACGACAGACAATTAATTGGCTCGCTACTTCATTCCTTTTTTTAACGTCGGTCTCTGTTCCGCAATCTAGTGGCAATCACCGACGGACAACAGCAGCTCTGGTACTCTCTTCAGTCCCAAGCTAATCGGTTCACCCCTCGAAACATAGGAAAATCCACTAACCCCTCATTTTATCTGTCAAACTTTCATAGCGAATCAAAACAAACATAGCACAAACGAAGTGACAGACGGAGCGGCTCGAAAACTTTGGTGATTAACCTGCTATTTCAATTTTTCAGTGTACCACATGGCAACACCACTACTACTGGATTGTACCACATGGCAACACTACTACTGGATTGCACTAGCATTTTCACCAAAGGTATTAGAAAGTTTTGGTTCTATCTCTTTCACTCTACTCAAAACTGAAATGCTTAAAAAAATGACAAAATGATACACTCTTTACACACTGTCAAAGAATCATTGTACACAAAATCAACTTTGTTCAAATCAAAACAAAAAAACTAACCCATCTGATGGATGATGGCACCAGCTTCAAGAAAATTCTATTACAGTGAACCACATTATTTTAATGGATTTCTTCGCCAGTTAGTCGTCTGTCACTTCGTTTGTGGTTCAACGTTGTCTCGTCACAAACCGTTTGGCGCTGTTATCTGTCTCTATACATTTCAAAGAGTGAAGGGGGTCTAGAAGTTGTAACAGGTGGGGTACTCCCTGCCCAGCACTAATGAGACCCCCCTCTACACTACCTCAGGGTCGGCATGCGCGCTCGAATATCACGGCCAAGGAAACACTCGAATATCTAACACACACAACACTTGTTTAGCTATAGGCACCTTTATTGTTCCCACTTTCGTCCCACTTTCTTATTCGCTATCTCCTACCTCGTTACGCCTGACGTTTCTTCTAATTCTTCAGCGCGGGCCCGCTGTTGGTCCTTCCACAGCCACTCCTTCACCTTCCTCAGCTTCCTTCTGGGTACTTTTCACAGGCCAGTCGGTTCCTTTCCTCGACTTGGTTCGCAAGCCGGTCGCGTACTTCGGTACTTTCCGCGACGGCTCTTCGATCTCTCTCTCTCTCTCCTCACTATACTCGTGGCGTGGCGATGGGCCGTTGGTTAGTATTCCCGGATACCTTCGTATCGGAAGATGCTCCGTGTCTAACCGTATGCCGAATAACGGACACTACGGGGTCTGACCACGCCGTGGATGAATTGCCAGCGGTAAACTACGGGGTCCTGTGGACATAATGGGGAATCACGATGGCGGTTATTGGCGATCGAGAAGGTGTTTCTCTAGAAGGGAATTTTACCTGGATGGTTCTGCACCTCACTCTCCTTCTTCACTTTTTTTTCACGTCCTCACGGTTTTTTACTGGTTTCGGACTTGCTTGAACTAGCTTTACGAAGTATCGCTGTTGAGTATCGCCAATCAAATAATTCTCGACGATGGCGGCTGACCTATCCTCTCTCCTCCTCGCTGAGCCATCGTCCTTCCGCCCTATTTCGCCTCATCATGGCCCCATTATGCCACCTCCTAATGGCCTCCAAATCCAGTAAACAGTGCCATCTGGTGGTAGGTAGCGGATCTTCCTGTCGTTTAGGTGGTGTGGCTGTGTACTGTCCAGTGGGTGATTTTGTGGGCGATGGGTGGTGTTGGTAGCTTGTATTCAAACCTTTCCTTGGCATATTGTTATACATAAAATACGAAACACTAATCGCGACAATCTCACTAATCTCAGACAAACAGACACACCACTGGTTACAAAGTTCTTAATTAAAAAGTGTGGAAGTGCTCAATGAACACCAAGTTGGGTACGTGGCATTAGAGAATAAGGGGGGGGCGAAGCACTTTTGAACCCCCAATATTTTTTGGATTCCCATGTAAACTATAGGTACCGTCAAATGGGGTAATTTTCAACACATTTCATCTTTACAAATTAAATTAAGGGGTGATCCATTTATTACGTCACGCTAAATTGAAAAAACATTAACCCCCCCCGTCTCCCCCATTTCGTGACGTTTTTCCTATTCCTCATTGCTTGTCACAAATCATAAACCCTCCGTCCCCCCTTAGGGCCCATGCATTAATTATGTCACGCTAAATCGAGGAAAAAAATACCCCCCCCCCCATATCGTGACGGTTTTCCTATACCTAATGCATTGCTTGTCACAAAATCTTAGACCCCCCACCCCCTAGAGCGTGACATAATATATGCATCAACCCTTAGAGCATGACATAATATGTGCATCACCTTTATACAACTTAAGAATAAATGTAAATTATAGATACTATAGATTCCATAGATAGGCGGAGGCACAAAAAGTTGTTTTGGCAACCATGAAAAATAAATGATCTTACTGGCATCCGTGAAAAAAGTTCATGCCATCATAGAGCTCTTCGTTGTGCAGTTTTGTTTTGTTTCGTGCGTAAAAGTTCAAAATGAAGTGCAAAGCAAATCTTTGCAACAATGTATCGAGGAATGGTTTGCTTTATGTTTCCTTCTTCCGTTGTCCGAAATAAATCGGAATGTGGAGTGTGGAGAGCGTTTTGTGCTCATAATATTACAATACTTCCCCCTCAAACAACACCATGATGACGTCATGCTCGTTTGGCTACACTAATAGCGAATTCGTTTATTATCGGGGTTGGAACCAGTTCCAACCCGTGCGAACCCGAACTTTTTGTCAGTGTGAACCTCGACCCGTGCCAGGTTTTAAAAACAAACGATAAAACTGACGTTTGCTAGAAAACAAGCAGACCAAATCTTGATACCCGATCCAGGTTGGAACTGAATAATAAACGAATTCGCTATAACTGACCGTTCGTTTGGCTACATTATACTTTTCCTCCGCTTATCTATGGAATCTATAGTAGGGGAAATGACGGCTTCGGCATGACAGACTATTTTCGGCAACCCAAATTGAAACACTATTTTCACAGGATTTTCTTACGAAAACACTTCGCTGAATGCATGCAAACGATTCTTTATGCTTTCAGCTTCAATTTGACTATATTTTTACCACTGAAAAAAAGCAATCTAGCAGGGTTTTCTTGAAATGAAACACACGCTCTACAAATTGTAGCTGCTTTCGAGTTGCCGATAATAGAACAGCAGATTTACATGCAAATCAAATGGAACGGTTGCCGAAGAAAAACTGATTGCCGACAATACTCGCGACAGCTTTGTAAAAGCGTTTCAAAACAGTTTTTGACAATTCTTTCGACTGAAATTGTTAGAACAGCTGTCAGCAAAAGAATGTAAACAAACCAATACTGCATATGTGTGCGTTCCATAGAGAAAAAGGCTATAGAAAGAAGGTCGCTGCTTAGGTTGCCGAGAATACGTAAATTCCCCTATCTATAATGTAAATAATCTTGCGCGTTCCATTGGCAGTATGTAGAATACAACTTGGTACTCATTTTATCGAAGCTAGCTTTCCCTTAATCAGTATGGACGAAAAATGTGCTTGTTGCAAGTTATCCCACTCTAGCTGAATCCACAGCTTTTGTGCAGCTGCTTTACAGCACGAAACTGTAAAAAGTAAGCTTACATAGCAGAAAATGTTTACTCCCTGGTTTAAAGTTTGCTGCCGATCGTTTCAACTACATTAATCAATTGTTTTATAAACTGGTCATACAATGAGCAACTAATGTAAGGGGCCATCAACAAACTATGTAAGCATTAAAGGGGAGGGGGTTTAATATTTTCTTATGTGCTTTGGAGGTAATTTCATACTAATAAAATCTTACAATGGGGCGAGGGAGGGGTTGAAAATGTCCGAAACCGTTACATAATTTGAGGATAGCTCCTAAGTATAATGAAAAATGTGTTGTCGAATCGGTCAAGAGTTGAAAAGGTCATAAATATAGATAGAGTAATGATTTAACAAAAAGGGGCCTCTCTTAGCTCAGTCAGTAAAGGCGCAAGCGGATGACGCCAATGAATCCAGATCGAATACCTTGATCTGAACATCTGGGAATACAAAATGTTGACACATTGCCTTTAAACGTCAACTAATATGCCTAAATAATCTCTCTTCACTTGATTTTCGATGAATGGTTAAGTTCGCACTAGGAATAAACGAAAACGACATTAGTCTACAGATATTGTCATGTTATTGTCCTCATATTTAGTATTTAGTATTGGCCACCTCAGTCAGGAGCATTTTTAAGACTCCCTGACTACAATGGCGTCTGGTTCAGCACGCTTACCGATTGCAATTTCCCGGGGCAAGGAAAGATCGCACGTGATGAATAGAAAAAAAACACAAGCACTTCACTACGCAAATAAACTAGTTTATTTAACATTACCATATAATGTGATTACTGTGTCAAATGTATTATCCCGAAACGCTGTATCATACGGAATATCCAGGTTAGTTCAACTTAAAATTTATTGCCATATCTTCTTTAGATCTCCAAAGCTTATGATTGTGAGAGATTGGGAGTTTTAAGGATTCTTCAAAGTGGGTCGAAATCAACGAAACGAACATTTATATATAAAAATGTGTAGGAGAAAACGTAATGATTTGAGAGGATAAACATTTCTTATGAACATTTATTCAACCGTTATGTGAATGACAGGACACCCGGAAATCCAGCGGCGTAGAAAAAAAAACAAAAAAAAAATCCTCACTCACATACGGGTTAATGTGTGTCTTTTTATGCTAACCTTTTGGGCCGAAAAAAGCTAGTCAAGAACATGGACTTCCAGTCGTTCCACATTTAGAAAAAAATGCTCTAAGATGGGTACATTTATACCTCTCCAGTTTCGTTGAGCAGGGAATAAAAAAAAATATTCTGGCAATATGAGATTCGACAAACGAGCCAAATAATAATGGGTGATCAGTAATGGTAAGCAACATAGATAAATTTCCCCATTGATTTACGTGTAACATCAAGGACGTATGTTGCAAACAAACTAGTAAATAATTTTATCTTTTTGCTTCCACCGTTCCGATCAAGCTATGTTGCAGAGAGTTTGTCATGACGATCGCCGCAAGCGATTTGTCTATATTGTTGCTTGCTTTCTGTGTTATGATACTTTGGTTTTTAATCAAATTGAGGGCACTAGTGGTCACTAACAACAAACTAAGAAGCTATTATTGGTAAAACTTGTCCAAAGGCGATTGGTGTGCCTAAAATTTACGTCGTAACTTATGATTAGAGTGAGCAGCAACAATTGATTCATTATAACGGGAGTTTCTGAGCAAGAAATAAAAATTATACAGTCAACTCTCCACAACTCGATGTTCACTAACTCGATATCGAGTAATAGAACCATAGTAAAAATTAATTTTATGGCTACTGTGATAGCGATTTTGTATGGGATTGTTATTCTATAACTCAATAATTCTATAACTCGATGGTCGAGTTGTAGAGAGTTCACTGTATTCTTTATAGATAGATTTGTTTGATTTTATTGTTTCTCACTAATACGATAAGTTCCTTACATTACAATTTTGCTATTTCTTCGGATTGATGGGGGTAAAACCTAGGTGAACTGTATTTAAAAGGGATGCTTGATCAGCTATGTCCTAACGCAGGTGAACCATTTAAACGAGTTTGAAATTGGAAATCACATTTGTTTAGTAGTGTTGGTCGCGTATAAATACATACAGGAAAGGAAAAATATTAATAGTACGTGAATAATTTATTAGCGTTATGTTGTAAAACATTACCGTTACACGGTACTGAAAGGATAAAATTCTTATAGAAAATGCTTTACTAGACATGCACTAGAGCTAGATGGAAATTTATGAACCCTACTAGAGCAACAAGCTACATATAAGAATAAAATAACGTATTTTGTCCATACTTAAGTGTTGTTCTAACCATGATACATGATTGAACAAAGATTTTATTTTTATTTCTTGTGAATCAAATTATACTAGTTCCAAACATGGAAGCTTATGTAAATATCATACTCTTTCAATAAAATTTGCTCTAGTAAGATTCCAGCTGATGAAGCAATTGCAAACAAACTGTGACGAACCACAATGAGAGATGCTTGCGTGGGTAGATCAAAATTTCGTGGATCAGGAATAAATAAAATAAAAAAGGTCGAATCATACAATGAGAACAGTCTATCACATACTTGTCAACTTGCACTTATTAAAATGACAAAAACAAGCACTACAGAATCGTACCTCTCGTGTTTCCAATCGCCGGCGATGTACACAAACGCTTATTCTTCCCCATCATACAGACACGTGTTGCAGGTTCATCAGTCACAGTAGTAGTAAATTGCTAGAATCAGCTCGATTCGTACTTTTTTCGATCATAAATTATCATCTCGCATTGTCTCGCATGTCCAACAAATTAAATTTGATATCAATCATTGCCAAAGGGCGTGAAACTTTGTTTTTTCTCGTTTCCAATTTCACATTCTAATCACATCAGTTTTCGTGTCGCCTACTAAAGCGTGTTATCTAAATCCTAGAAAATCTGTTAGTCTATCATTCAGTGCGTCCAGCCAATGAACGGGCATTTTGGATTTGCTGTTTACCTTAGGCTCGATGGTGCTCGGTGGAACGTAATCTTCAGTCCGGATGCAGAAATAGCTTGTAATCGCGGATCGACACATGGGACAGCGGTCCAGCTTGTCTAAAAAATAGAATGATAACTTGTTATAACATTTTGCCGATGGAGGGTTGCGAGGGTATATGATTGCTTGTGATCAGAGCTAGGATTATGTTTATTGGAACGTGGGGCCAATTAAAACAAGTAAATATTTATCTTCACACAAACTTTCTCATTCTTACATTGTATTGATCTAAGGTTTTCAGGTTATGGATTGGTGATATCTTGTTATGTTCTCCCTCAAGTGTTAGATTTCATCAACCACTTGAATCACAAAAAAAAAGCTATATAATTTTTGAGTATTTTGTACTTTACAGATACTCACAGATAATTAAATGTGCTTAATTTTTTTTTTGATTATCCAAATCATCCCGGATATCAGATCTTGAAGTTCTACAGACTCAACAAGGTATACGAAGATTCGACTTAATGATAGAATGTGTAAACCTTCGTGAAACCTCATAATATCATTGGTTTGGTTTACTAGGTTTTCCAAAATGGCTGGAGTTCAGATTTTTATTTCTTTTTATTTTAGTCACACCAAAAGAAATTCTAAAAGTTTACTCTGTAAGCTATCGTGGTAGGAATTACAACCTCGTGTGCGAACAGATTGCGAGTGAGAGAAAATTGTGCAATAATTTTGAGGAGTTTTTGATACTTTACCACAGTGAAAGACATAATATGAAAGTTGTAAACAAGCGAATATAATGGTGATATAAAATTGATTGATTCCAAGTAACATTGCAAGTTTTATAAAGGTTTAAAGGATTCTTCAAGACCAAGCTGTAGCCTACAAGACTTTGATCAAATCAAAATTGTTACGGAGTGATTTGAGATTTGGGCGTAATTGCATTTGTAAACAAACACGTCAATCACCGATTTCTCGCGAATAAAAGCTCAATCTCGAATAGTAATAACACTATGAGGTAGAGGAATGATTCCTCTATCATTTGGTATAGTTTGTTTGTGAGATTGAGCTTTTATTGAAGAGAAATCAGTAACTGACGCGTTTGTTTACAAAAGCAATTACGCCTAAATCTCAAATCACTCCGGATATATGATCTTTCCCGGTGCATTTTGGGTTTTCCCGCATTTTTTCCCCGGCAAATCCCGTTTTTTCCTGGTTTTCCGGTTGTATGGATTAGTTATTGTATAAACGTCAAACGTAAGGGAATTGCCATAGGCGGCAGTATTACCAACTAAGAAAAATTTAAAATTATTGTTAAAAGCTTTATCGATGAACAACATGCGAGAGTTATGTCTGCTTGTCTGTGATTTTACTTTATATCTTGATTTAAAAATCGAGGAGGTCTATGGAATCGAAAAAATATCGTTGTGCGTAGCGCTTTCATTTCATTTTCATTTTCATTTTGCATCGTTTGGTGGGGCAATGGGAGCGCACGTCAATCCAAAGCCGAGGATGAAGGAAGGGTAATGGAGTCTATGCGTACCACTTGAACGCCATGGGAAGGGATTGGGGAGGTCGGTTATTGGGGGGTTTTGAGGAAATGACACATAGTACTATATTTGTGCTGCAAAATGTGAAGAAACCGAAAATCCATCTCCCACTGATTCATCCTTTCACATATATAGATAATTGATATTTTAAAGCAACCATCAAAATAAACAGATAATATATGAAAAGGCTAGTTGCTTTAAAGGCTAGTTACCTCCCTAAGCGGCCCCGCATCCTAACTCTTTTGTTAATCTACTTAATGTTATTAGGCTGTCTAAATTTTCTTATTTAAGTTCATTTGATGATTATGATATCTCATTAGTCTAATTTAATAAATAATTGAAATCTCTAATCTTCCTAATCAATTATAACCCATGCTTTATTAAGTACAAGTGCATGTAATCTAAAATTTAACGTGTATCAAGTTATTTTTGACTTTGACCTTTTATTATATATTAGTTCGTTCCAGGTGGCACCTTCAAGTGACTAAAATGCTTATCTTTGAAGTTAGTTTCCTAGCTGATTTTTAAATTGTATGGGGTATATGCTCCAACTACGCTCACACGTTTCCACTATGTCGTCCCACAAAATTACGTATAGATATGTCACAATAAAGCACGCCACAGTGGAAATCCCGAGCCATAGTTCAAACACTTATCCCAAACGAAAATGAAGCATATAGGGGAATTTACGTATTCTCGGCAACCTAAGCAGCGACCTTCTTTCTAAAGCCCTTTTCTCTAAGGAACGCACACATATGCAGTATTGGTTTGTTTACAATCTTTTGCTGCCAGCTGCTCTAACAATTTCAGTCGAAAGAATTGTCAAAAACTGGTTTGAAACGCTTTTACAAAGCTCCAATCTTCTCTAGTGAGAGCGAGTATTGTCGGCAACCACTTTTTCTTCGGCAACCGTTCCATTTGAACTGCATGTAAATCTGCTGTTCTATTATCGGCAACTCGAAATCAGCTACAATTTGTAGTGCGTGTGTTTCATTTCAAGAAAACCTTGCTAGATTGCTTTTTCTCAGTGGTAAAAGTATAGTCAAATAGAAGCTGAAAGCATAAAGAATCGTTTGCATGCATTCAGCAAAGTGTTTTCGTAAGAAAATCCAGTGAAAATAGTGTTTCAATTTGGGTTGCCGAAAATAGTCTGGCATGCCGAAGCCGTCATTTCCCCTATAAGATTAGTTACAATACCATGTACAAAAATGGTGTGACGATCGTAGTGTGCTGTGCTCGAAGAAAGACATGGAAAATTTTCAGCCGTCAATTTTTGCTCCGTTTTTTCTCGACTTTTGTGAAATTGTAATTAGATTTCGCTTATGCTCCCGCTCCAGAAATTTGTGGCATCGCGAGTGATAGTTTTTAAGTTCAGTTTATTTATGCGTTGTATGATTTTATGAGCGGTCGCTTCGTGTTTGCGTCAAGGAGCAATTGACTATATTAAACTTGAGGATTGACCCCCGTAAGGTGGGTCTATGATCGGAACTACTACACCAAACGTGACAGAGCTGCTAGCAAAGGATTCACTTGGACTGATTTGGTGAGATTGTTCCTTTTTTTTTTACTTTTATCTATTTAAACTTAATTTCTATGAATCCGTAGCATTTGGAATCATTTGATTCGGATGAGACTTAACTTTCATCCTATGGATTTTAGACATCCTATTTTTTTAGGAGACATCCTACTAAATATAAAAGCAGGAATTGCTTTGATGATGGAAGTGTACACGCAGTACCAATAGACATTTTATATCGATACTACGTGTATGCGGGGCGTGTTGTAAGTTCATGCATTGTTTCTTCTCATTGTAGACAGCGAATAACGAATAGCGAGCAAGGGCGCTATAACCTAGGCGAATACAGCATTCCCTCTGTATAGGTTACGTCCGCACACCGCTCTCTGTTGTCCTTCGACTGAGGTCGGCTGGATCGATTGAGGGATGGCAGTGGGTGGGCGGTGCCGTCCACGCTTGTACGGAGGGAGGACTGTACGCTCGAACACAAGGGGTAAATACCTGTGTTCCATCTCAGGAGATCGGACAACCAAGGAGTGTACATTAACTTTCTTAGCTCTGTCACTCCCAACGATTTATATAGCCTATTTTCAAATCCTGCATACGGAGCGGTTGGTACGGTATGTCCCCACTCTTTGATTACCTGTGGATTAAATGTTAACCACTGTCTATACTTATTAAGTAGACATGGTAAACATTCACTTCCACAAAAATTAACTAAACGCTACACAGTAGGCCTGGCCGCTTTATTGTTTGTTTCACATCCTTGGTGTGTGTAGTACCTATCAGAGCAGATATAATGAATTCAATATAAAATATGTTTACATTGGATTCATCAAATGAAAGTAAAATAAACAACCTTATTATCTTTTACATAAGCCTTGTCTGCCTATCGTTCATCCCTGTTTAGGTTTAGTTTTAGGTGTATATCGATATAGCACAGACCTGCTGTGCTAAAATGATTGGTGAGTGTGTGTCTGTGAGTGAGAACGTTTGCAGAAAGGATAGCTTACTAATACTGTGACACTGGAAACTGCGAAGCGGAAATGGCGCAACGGTTCACCATTCACTTTGCTAAGTTTGTGCGTGATAGATGTTCTTTGCTGAAGTGTGAATGAATGGAAAGAAAATGGAGGACGACGGCTCGGAAGGATACGACACAGTCGACGAAGCCCTTCAAGGTCATTCTACGCGGGCTGCACGAGCTGGATGTTTCGGTTGTGGAAGAAGAGCTGAAACGCAACAACCTTCAACCCGTGAAGGTTTTCGTGATCAAACGCCACAACGAGGCGATCAAGTATCGCGACCAACTGTACCTGGTGGATTTGGTTGGCGGATCCACAAACATGAGGCAGCTTCAAAGCATCCGAACGCTGCTCAGTACGACAGTACGTCGAGTGGGAGCGGTACAAGCCGGTCCACCGTGAAGTGACGCAGTGTACCAGCTGCTTGAATTTCGGACATGGCGCGCGCAACTGCCATATGAAGTCGCGTTGCTCCAAATGCGGCCAACAACATGTGACTGCCCAAGCAGCCAACCTTTGTCAATTGCGGGAATGCCCACACATCGACTAGTCGATCGTGTCCCAAGCGGGCTGAATTCATCGCACTGCGGAAGAAAGCAAGCCAGCCGAGACAGCAGAAAAAGAAGCAACTACCTGGAATCGATCTGGAAAATGATTTTCCCCCGCTTCCTCCATCCGAAGGACGCGCACCAAATCTTCCTCCCCTTCCGCTGCCCAGAAGGCAGTATAGGAATACACCGCAAGCCGAACCAAGTAGCACTCCTCCAGGATTCTGGGGAACCCAGCCTGGTGCTGTACCGTTGGTCCCTCCAACCGATGGTCTGACGCAGGTAATCAGTCATCTGACAACGCTTGTCAGTGAAATGCAAAAAATGATGGTGCAAATGATGCACTTCATGACGAACTTTCACGTTCACCATCAACGCCCTTAATTGGAACGCCCATTCAGTGGCGAGAAAACAGCTGGAAATCGTAGAATTCATGCGCCAACATAACATCGATGTCGCGTTTCTAACCGAGACGTA